AGAGCTTTCTTGCACTAAAACTTGTTGGAACATGCTTGAAAGAAACTTGGAAGCAAGTGAGTAAGTGGGAGAGTGAAAATGAGAGAGTGTGAGAGGGGTGAGGAGCTCTCCCGGCTAGCCTCGTATTTATAAGCGTGGAAAACCAACAGCAACGACATGGGGCAACGGTCACGCACCTCCTGTCCAAAGGGCAGCGCCAACGACCACCTGCAGGGGCCGACTGGCCCCTGGGGTTGCCCGCCTCCCTAGTGGGCCCACTCGGCCTGTCCTTTGGCAGGGAGTGGCCAATGGCCAATACAAACCTGTGACCGTTGGGGTCTCGTCCAGATCCCCAACGGCTTGCTCAATTTTAATTTTCCAATAATTTTTTATTGAATTTTTAATTTTTATAATTATTGCAAAAATGATAACTAGTAATGATAAACTATTCTTTTTTAGAAAATGATTTTTGTAGAAATTTTTTGAAGATTTTTATTTTGACGTAAAAATTCAAAATTTTAAATCTCAGAAATATTCATTTTGAATGTTTTTAATTTTAAAGATAACTACCGATTTACCTTTGGCAAGGGTTCGAAATTTTTGTCCGTCGGACAAGACCTCTCCTCCTTTAGTGATCTGCAGCTGCATTAACATTTTCGAGGAACTTCTCGAGGTTGCCCCAAGGTTTTTCCCGAATGATCGACAGGAATGGCCCCGAGCTATTTGTGAAATTTGAGTTTCTATCATTTTGTTAAAACTTAATTGATTTTTCACTGTAGAGAATAAACTTTCTATTTGAGAGTTGATGTTCTCTAACATTTTATCATTATACATCAACATTTTTGTGATATTTTCATTAAATTTGACTTGGCCTAAAACTAATTCTTTAAAAGAAGGTTGATTCGAATTTTAATTGGCATTGAAGTTCGAATTACCATGCGGGCAAGATTGGTTATTCCACCCATTATTACCTCATGGTTGGTGAAACTTGTTGTTGATGAAGACAGCTTCTTCGTGGGTTTCGCGGCAATCATTCCCCGAATGGCCAACGTTTCCACAGAACTCACACGTCATGTGTGAGCCCATGGCCTAGACGGTGCCCATCATGGCATCTTTATCTTGGGGCCGTTCCTCTAGTCTTTTCATCAATAAATCTATTTTTTGCGGAAAGCATGTCCTTCACCTTCACAATATGTATTACTTTTTGTGTTTTCCTTTCCTCCCCTAGCTTTGATTTGACACCATTTTATTGATTAGAGCCGTGGCTCCATCAATGATGAGGGAAAGGAAAGCACCTCTAGCAGCAGTGTCAAGGTGGCCCCTAGACATGGGTACTAATCCATCATAAAAATTTTGGTGCACTAACCAATTTTTCAATCTCGTGGTGCGGGCATGCTTGGATGTAGTCTTGTAGCCTCTCCCACACCTCGGGAATGGTTTTCATGGAGCTTTGCTGGAAGTTCAAAATTCATCCCCTCAGGGCATTGGTTTTGTCCATAGGGAAGAACTTGGCGAGGAACGCCGCGAAACATTTGTCCCATGTGTCGACAGCTTCCTTTTTCTTGTAAAACCAACTCTTCGCCTTCTCCGAGTGGGAGAAGGGAAACAAGCGGAGTCTGATGCTCTCAGGTACGACGTCCTTGATGACGATCGTGTCACACAACTCGAGGAAGTGTTGGAGATACGCATTCACGTCCTAGCTTGGCAAACCATGGAATTGGTTTGCTTGCACCATCGTGATGAGGCCATTACAGAGCTCGAAGTTCCCATCCCCAATGTTAACAGCAGGCTCAATGGGCATGTTGGCAACAACGGGGGAGTAGTAGTCACGGAGGGTCTTGGCCATGATTGGAGTAACGGATGGTGCGGGGGTGACTGGTTCGACTGTCGGAGGAATAGCAAAAGAAGAAGCGGCAGGAGACTGTTACTTCCTCAGGAGTGCCTCCGAATTTTGAGTGTAGTTGTTCGGTAGGTCGAAACCAGTCATACACTATCCTATTTTCACCCACAACAGGAGAAAACAAGCAAAGTTAGCCTACATAAACAATGGCTACATTACATGCATATTATCATGAACATGTCCTACTAGATTTTTTAATCAATATGCCTTCCCCGGCAACAACGCCAGAAATGCTTGTTGACACTTCTTAGGGTAGCTTCTAGGTTTGTATCCCTAGCAACTGCGCCAGAAGTGCTTGTTGGTATTTTTTAGTGTCATTACTAATAATTAGCAATGCCACTAGGTAATAGCCTTGATAGTTCCTTAATAATTTTAGATATTTATCCACAAGCGCACGAAGCTATCATTGTAGCATTTCACCTAGAAGTATTTAGGGTATCGTTATTTATATTTTCCCAAAAGAAGGCATTTGATTAAGAGTCTAGTATGGATATGAATTTGAATAATAATGCTTGTAAGTACACCAATGTTTATAACAGGGGCAAGAATGGTAATTTCTGGATAATGCACACACACTTGGCATTCCTCATTGGATAAAATAAAGAGAAAGAATAAAAGAATAATCTTAAGTCGAGCAGGCATTGGTCTAGTATAGTCTTATAAAGATTAGTTAAAGATCATACAAGTAACATATTTAGTTTTAGGGCTAAGTGTAAACAGGTCGGGAGGCCATCGAGTACTGGTTTGCCAGCAACCTCATGTGATAATTTAGACTCCTACACCCAGTCGAACATGGGGGATTACAAGGGACGGACAGGGCTATCACCACCTGCCGCCTACCACCTCAACCGTGGAAAGGGACAATGCATTCAGCTGTCTCTCCATACCCAAGCACCAAGCTTGCATATACAGAAACTACAAAAATCCCCCTGGGTCCCCGACCCTATAGATCGATAGGTTAAGGACTTGGGCACACCTAACGGCACGATGAGCCGCCACCTCAACTTAGCTTTAATTCCGATTATATAAGTTATATAAGTGTTTAAGTATAAAGTTAAGTGTGCAACTCTCATGATACACCAACTATAGACTAGTTCATATATCAATATTATAACACAATAACTATACTCTAGTTCATAAGTATGACTATAAATATCATATGAGAGCATAACTTTGGAAGAACTTATATTTCTATTCTTACCCAAAGATCTCTTCTTCCAAGGAGCCAAGCTCTCCAAGGTAGATTTGCCTTGCTCTAAACTACTAAAAGAAAGTAAAGCTACAACTAGAGAGTGAGGTGTGAGAGCCGTTGCTCAATGTGAGTGTGTTAAGAGAGGGGGGTACCCCTCTATTTATACAAGGGGAAGAGGCGGTGCTTCGTCTATTCTAGGCGCGAACCCCGGCTGCACCGCCTCAGCATGGAGGCATGCTCCACCACAGCAAGGGGTTGCTGAGGAGCGCCGATAGGGGGTCAGGTGCCCCTAGGGGTTGGCCGCCCCTTGAGCATGCCACCTCGTCACCGCCTTCACGTGACAGGCTCTGGGCTGGGCCTGGATCAGCCTCGGTGGTGCTTTGCCAGATTTGTATTGAGTTGGTGGGCATCTCCCTTGTTTCTTTGGGAAAATCAGTGTCCAAAGGCGCCTTTCAGTGAATGTGTCCATGTATTTGTGTTTGTGACCTGCAAAATAATGTTCTCCAAATACATGTGGAATTTGGTTAATAGTAAAAGCATATGAGTTTAAGTTTGCCAATTTCTCCTCTTTTTTAACTTAATTGGCGGTTGGATTTGATTGGTAAAGACCGCCAACATTGGCATGGATCTGTGGGGGCGTGCGGCCACCTACGACGCGAGCCACGCGGCCGCCGGGACGCCTGGGCTCGCCGCTCGGGGCTGCCAGGACGCCTGAGTGCCACTGCAGGGCAGCTCGATGAAGTCGCTCGTGCGGCCACCAGGGACATGGGCCACGTGGCTGTCGGAGCGCCTGGCCTCGCCACTCCCTACTGCTGGGAGGCCTAAGCGTCATTGTTGGGGGGCTCGACGGGGCTGAGCGACGGCCTCCGCTGCACTAGACTCCGGCGAGCGGTCTGGCGGCGGCGCGTCTCAGCCTGCCGTGCGCTCTCCTGCCGGCGGCTGCCCTCAGTCCGGCCCCACGCGTCCCAAAGCCGGCGGCAACCACCCACGCCGGCGACTGGTGCGAGAAACACGAAGGGAAAAGGAAACAAATGAGCTACGGTTTGGGGGAGCCAAAGGTTTTGTTATGCACAGGCGTGTCCTCGGCCATTGGATGGGATTAGATGGCTTAGATTGGGCCAAGCCTTAGCAGGCCGGCAGCCCTACGTGGCCTAGTGTGGGTGTACGGCCCAAGCCCAGGTAACCATGCTTAATTAAGGCCCCTGCGGTCATTCAGCAGACCGAAAGGCCATAAAGGGCCTCGCTGTTTATAAGATTGGGGTCAAAATAAGCAAACAATTAAGTCTCAGTTTAATTTATTATTAGTGCTTTTAATTTCCTATTTTATTTAAGGATTTGTTTAAGCACCGTTAAAGTAAGTAATATTGTCCATTATAAATTAAGTCATCTCCAAATTTAAGTCCATTCAATAAACTATGTGTCCCGTACTCCCGTTGCAACGTACGAGTATTTTTTCTAGTATAAATAAATAGACCCCTTTTAATTTATATTAGTTTGGGGGTCAAGATAAGAGTCCCGCACTACTTTACCATGAGCAGAAGAATACTCACACAGGTAACCGTCACCATCTTGATACCACATCCTGACGGCTCAGATTATCCCGTGCTTTTGAGTAGGCAAAGGATCGGAATCTTAAAATCGGGGCTCTTGTTCCCGAATCGTACGGCGCAGAGGCAGCGTTCGCTCGGAAGCTTCCAACGATTCCACGTGCCCACATCAACTCCTTCCAATGGAGAATGGTGAGCCGGCGGGATCCACCTTAGCCGATGGAACAGGTGGGTGGGCAGTGGGCCCAGTTCCCTCCGCTCACGCCAGCATCTTCCCCTCTTTTCCGCAGTATATATACCTCTGCGGCTCTGCCTCATCCTGCGGCTCCTTGCATACCGAATAATATTCTACAGTTCCAGCTCCTGTAGCAAGAAAAGAACGATGTCGGGAGTTTGGGTGTTCGAGGACGGGATCGTGCGGCGTGCGGACAGCGACCCACCCAGCGGCGCCGGCGACGGCGGGTCGCGGCCGAACAAGGTGCTGGTGCACGTGCCCAGCGGGGAGGTTGTGACGTCGTACGATGTGCTGGAGCGGCGGCTCCGCGAGCTCGGCTGGGAGCGCTACCTTTACGACCCCTGCCTGCTCCAGTTCCACCAGCGCTCCACCGTGCACCTCATCACCGTGCCCCGCGACTTCGCCCGCCTCAAGCTCGTCCACATGTACGACGTCGTCGTCAAGACCCGCAACGTCTTCGAGGTACGCGACGCCGCCCCAGCCTGATGATGGTCTTCGTGGCGACGCTAGCTAGCTGCGGCTGTGCCTTTACCCACCCTAGCTCGTCGGACCGGTGCTGGGAGGTCTGCCTGCCGCCGCCATATCAGCGTACGTACGCATGTATTGTATGTTTGTGATTGGTATTATCGAGTACATACGTGTGATTTGCATGGTTCAGCGCGCGCTCTTGCATGGTGTCCTACGTTGTCTGCCGCCAAATAAATGTTACGCGAGAGCGCGCCGCCGCCGCTGTATGCTTCTTATATGTCCGGATTGGAGGGTGTGTTTCTTTGAAACAAAGGCTTGTACATATATAGATTGATTTTATATGGCCAATCATGGATTATAATAGCTAATTTTGGTATTCAACTTTGCCAAAGCTTTTACCGTCGATTTTGACTTCTGGATGATCAGTTGCTCCTTCCATTATATATATGGATTAGGAGATGAAAATGTTCAATTTCAAAACTCTTTAAATGGGATATATGGGCATTTGGAATTCACCAAAATGTTATTTGATACGTGAAATTAAGTATAATAGAACTTCAACATAGATACTCAGGTGTTTAAAGCTAAAATGAATCCTTTTAATGATGTTGGCCAAACTGAACTCCATGTGAAACTAAGCATAAAATTAAAGCAACTATATATTTATAAATTATGAGAACCATGCTTGTAATAGGTATCACACTGCTATTCTAAACAACTTTGAAAAAACATACCAAATGTACATTTACAAAAATATACTTTATTTGGGTACAATTAAACTTAATAAGAAAATAATAAATAATACTATTGTTTTTTCATAAGTTTATCTATACAATTTTAAATTATATAATGCTTAGGTTGTAGATAAATCATAGTGCGTATAATAAAGTTTCTACATACTCTACAAATTTACTAAATCAAACAACTATTTTAACTATGACCATGTTGTCACCATGTCACATCATGCCATGTCAGAAGCATCCCTAATTTTAGCTAAGTTCTAATTTGAAAGTGAATGGTTTTCATAGCCGAGGGCTGAAAGGCGATCAGTCTCACATTAGGCTTGTTTGAGACTACTCCCCTCTACGTCTTTTTAGCTCCACTTCACATTTTTTAGCTAAATAGGTGCAACTCCGCAAAATCTACTCTATAAAAAAAAGGTGGAGTTGTGAAAACACCTAAAAGGATGTTCCAGAAGCTCTACATTTTTTTTGAATGGCCTCACGTTGAAGTTTGTGGAGTAGCTTCAAATAGACCCGTATACTTGAAGTTTGATGATTGGACTCAACCCTCATAGTTTAGTGCTGTACAGTAGAATTTTCTAGATACTCCCTCCGTATTTTAAGTGTCACATTTGTTTTTTCTAGATACTCCCTCCGTATTTCTCGTAATAAATCTAAAAAATATAAATCTTATGACATGAAACTATATTTTTTTTAAAAATCAATGGTCAAAGATACAAACGTTTGACTTAGGACAAACCAAATGTGACACTTAAAAAAAAGGAGGGAGTATATATTAACTCCAAAATGTTTGACAATGTTTCCTCCAAACAATAAATTCTAAATAAACTGCAGTGCCCACAAATCTTAGATTATTACTGCTATTTCAACATTCAAAACAAAGGTAATAATAATTGATCAGGTCAATTATATTATAATTTTATTTTCTCTATTTAATTTTTCACATTGAACTTACACTTGGTTTCAGTTTCGTTTGATGCAAACGGCCTTTCCTGTTCCTGCCATTGTTTGACTATGGAAATACCAACATATATATGAACGATGGATACACAGAAAATCCTTACGTGCTGGTTAAAATACACCAGAATAGTATGAACATTCTTTAACATAGACTAGACATGACGTGTAGATGATGAGATGTTTATTATTCTTCATCTCAGACATCCTTGTCAGCACCTTGCGTCTGGGAGAGCCGGGCCCCCAAATTCAGGTTCCTCGCCACGGCAGGAGCTGTGTAGAGCTGCTCTCCCTCTTCCTCTCTGACGAGTGCACCAGAGGCAAGAAGGCAGCAAGACACAGAGGGGATCACTCTCTAATTTATCATATTTTTTAGATCTAGATTGTTTTGATTTATTCCAAACAAATCAGAAGCTTGTTATCTACTATGACTTCAGTTATGGCCACAACAAGGTTGCTGTTACAAGCATCGATATCATTAGTAAGATGTAATTTTGTGGTTATTTTCTATAAGAGAAAGAGTGCTCCTGGGCACTCTACACGGGCCTGATCATCAACGTGGAGAAGGAAATAGACATCCAACATGACGAAGGGGTTGGAGGTGATAAATATACGATCTATGTTGTACCCGATGTCCTTTCATCACTTCAAATGCATTTTGGACTAGTTCCCAAATGTTGAATGTTGCGGTATATCTAATATTTTGGGGTTGATCGTTAGATTCTGCATAAGGAGTGCACTGTGGTTTTGTTGTTGAACAAGGCTTTATTCATCAAGAGCATGGTTTGGATCGAGGAAATCCACTAGAAAAAAATAGGATGGAAGAATTTAGATAGAATATAGTATCTTTTTATTTTATGTTTTCTCATGTATAATTTGGGCTTGTATTATGTCGAATTTTAATATAATTCCCCTTTCCTTCGAAAGAATATAAATGATGTGTAAAACCTGAAATACATACACTGAAATGAAACAAAATTGCATTGTGTGCTTTAAAAGCGAATTTGTTAGCAAGGCATGTATGGGGAAATAAAAGTTGTACACAAGCGCTATGTAGCTAAGACACTACATTGAATGATTCAAACAAAGACTTCAAGGGGTTGAATGGGAGAAAATTCTTTTCTATAAACTTGATCTATATCCTAAATCAAGCGGAAGAAAGAACAAGTCAGAGAAACATCTAGAACCTCACGAAGTTGAATTTCATCTCAGGATTCATGAAACTTCAGCTGTTACTCGCAGAAGTTTCGAACCACTACTGCATTACCACCAATCACCACTATTGATGGTCATTAACACCTCATTTTATACCCTCAACCATGCCTAAATTGGTCATACAAATGACATAAAACATAGTCATAGGGCTTACTTTTAACCATTTCCACGAGTTGTGATGACTATGTGAGTGTAGGAACAAGGTAGTTATGTACATGTTAAAAAACTTACTCAACTGCCCATTTTAACTACACCATGTCAAAGGGCTCATCAAGATACACAAATCAAGTTTTGGTTCACCCAATTCGGAGTCCGGATGACAAAGTTATGGCTTCCGGAAGATCGCAAGACTGGTCGGGCTAGATTTGGGCACTGAGGGAGTCGGGCAACCCCCTAAGGCGTCAGGCGACGTGGATGTGTCCAACGGCCCCCAAACTTGGCCAGGGGCCTCCACCCTCACTCAAGAGCCCAAGGGAAGCCCTATCCACCTCATAGACCCAAATGGGTGTCTAGGAATCAGACAAGGTGATCCAATCCAACATGAGCCCATAACCGAAGAAAGGAAATTCCAAACACGATGAAACTTTGTACCCATGCTTTGGAAAAGCGTAGATCAGTGCACCACCTCAACATCAATGGTAGAAGGCTGCGAGGGGTGTTAGGCAATGGCCCATGGCATCGGGCGATGGCCCAAGTGCACCAAACCACCTCAAACAAAGTCGGCTGACCATCAACTGCCATCTAGAGTGCATCCAAGCCGTTGATTTGCAAAGTCAGTGGAATGGAGCATCGATCGGTGCCCAAGGACATTGCCCGACCCCTACTAGAACCGACCTTGGAGAGCTATAAATAGTGGTGTTAGGCACCATTTGTATCAATCCCATCAATATCTTATAGAATAGAAGCAAGGCGAAGCTCTGTAGCCCTACTACTTAGAAGTAGAAGATAAGGAGAGAGTGAGGAGAAGCATGGAGAGCAGCCGAGGTTGTTGGCATCTTCTCTCACTTGTGCCTCGGCAGATGAAGCTCTTCTTCGAGTGAAGTCTAGGATCCTCTATGGTAACTCTGATCTCTTGCATTACTTAAGTGTTGATTTTTATTGTTGTTGTTTATGGATTTCACCGCTTGGTTAGGGTGCTCTGATCTTATTTCACAGCTGGGATCAGAATAGTAAGTTTATAGATTAAGCATGGTGCTTATGCTATAGCTTGCCTGTGTTTACGGCTAGGTCTCTAGATAGTTAGTGGTATGTAGCAGGTGGTGACAGCCCTGCCATCCTCTGTATTCAATAATGATAGGTCTAGTTATTAAATCGTAGGGCTCGTGGTTGACGTTGACTAGTTAATCTCCTGGGTTGGCTAGACGGGCTGTGCCCCGAAGTAAACAACTGTGATATTGTCCTCCTTAGTCTTGCCTTAGTTCATAGAAACCAAGATATCCTCTCTACCTATTATCACTACCCTTGCTCTATCCTTGGACACTCTCTTGTTTCTTCGCTAGTTCACTTCACATTTCCCATGGAAATTCGATACTCTTGGAATATTCCCAGGTGAAAGCTACATTAACATCCGTACACTTGTGGATTTATCTGTTTCCTATTCTAGGTTCGCTCACCGACGGTGAATGTGGATACTAAAAATCGAGTTCATCACTGTTAGCTTGTAAATTAAACCAGCAGTGATAGCAATGTTTTACATCTCCAGTTATGACATTTAGTGGATGGCTTCCTAGGTAGATGCCATAGAAAGCTTCATTGTTCGTGGGGTGTCATTCAGTGTGAGTCTCCGTGGCTCGGGTGGAGTGAAGAACACAAGAGAAGACATGACGATGTATCTGTTGACATTTCTTAATGTCACTACCAGATTTTGTATTCCTCGGCAACGACGCTAGAAATGCTTGTTGGCATTTCTTATGCTCATGTAGAATATTCCGCAAGCACACAGAATACCATTGTAGCATTTCACCTAGGAGTATTCTAGGATATCGTATTTATCCACATGGAAGCAATGGGTTAAAGAAGGTGATAGTCAATCATCATGTATCTACAAACTAGTATACTGACTAGAGTAAAGTGGGAGTAAGTGATATACGATAAGAGTTATGG